TCTCCTCGAACAACACTTGACCAAAACCATTAAAATTGTTTTTTTTTTTTTTTTGTTTCCTTTCGCTTTGTTTTGTGTTGATAATCTTAGAGAGTTTGATTCGATTTGATCTGCAGTCAAGTGTAATTTTGTGGTGGAATTGCTTTTTTCTCTGTTTTTTTTTTTTTTAATTTTTTGAAAATTCGACTTTACTTTTACAGAGGGGCTATAATGTATTCATTTAAGGCTTTTTAAAGGCTTTCAAAAGCAGCAAATGTGATTTGTCACATTACACACAACGACTCTTATATACAAGACAGTGTTATGAATCGGATTAGTATGTGTAGATAATGCGAACTTTTGGTATTATTTCGCACCTTTTGGTATATTTCCGCCCGTTGCGCCATTAAAGATAAATTATATTGAGAATTCATACACATACGTAGTAAATGAAAAATTAAAGTTGTCCCAAACAAAAAACAACAAAGCGCTATGTTCGTCTTAACACTATTACAAGCCTATATATACATATATAAAGATCAAAAAAAAAAAAAAAAAAAAAACCATACGCCTTTGCAGCCGTTTCAGAGGGTGAATAAATGATTTTATTACAACTCGCTAAATGTTTGTAACAAATCGCCACTCGATAATATATTGATTTGATCAAAAAACGATCTCTTCTTGTTCTTCCAAGCCGCTCATATTTATCGTCTTCTAATATCTCTAGCTAGGAGCACAAATTCAAATTCGGTCCGGTTCGGTAAGAGAGATTGTAATTAGTACTGCAGGATATACATTAAGAAAAAAATTAAAAACATATAAAAATACGGTCCTTAAGCTAACTGCAACTGTATATATAAATCATCTTATTAAAGCGTACACAACACAGCTTCGTAGAGTTTTGAATAGATATGGGTTTGTGGCAAAGAAAAGAAATTTGCGGGAAACTTTACTTTTCCTGGCTAATTCAAAGGACAACGCAGCTAAATCCTTACGAGTGATCAACAATGAATGCGCTACAGTGTCCAATGAGTAAATAATCACGCTATACAGTACGCAAATCAATAACATCGACGATATGGCTGGATATACTTGACCAAACCCTCAAATGAGTGTCAGCTGGGCGTAGGGTATCAAAAAAAAAGACTCTTCCAATCAAATGAAACCGATATAATTGCGCCAAAAAATGGGCGTAGTATGCCAGAAGTCATGATATTGTGAGTGAAGGAATTCGCCTCAATGTAGCAAAACTCGCTCATTAAATGTTTGCAGTTCCAACCTGGGATATCTTGCTCCCCGGTATTATCAGCAGACTTCGCTCCCTCTGACTAACACAGGTTTCAATAGATTACTTATCGCTTGCTCGAATGATGCTCCAATTCTTCTGACGATGCCCGAATATGGCTTCTTTTAGGCGTGAAGTCGTAACTAATCATGGGCCATGCTTTGAATAAAAGTTACACAACATCCCGCGTATATCATCCAAAGCCAAAGTAGTCTAGCGAAAAAAGTTCATAACGCATTACATTGCGGTCCTTGATTTTTCAACGATTATGAGGCGAGAGTTTCGGTGCTCGCTCGATTGGTCGGGTGTTTCGGAATCGTATGCATAGAGTCAAGTCCCCTTCATAATAAATTATCGTTGCACAATGCGCTCTACCTATTTTTCTAAGAGAAACGCAAAAAAAAAAAAAAAAACAAGTAAAAACACTATAGTGGGCCACGGCCTACCACTAAAACATCCACCATTCCTGCAGCTATTCATATCATGATTTTTTAAAATAACTTTGCACTCCGGGAAAAGTAGTCGAAAAATGTATTTCGATCTGAACTGTTTTCACGTTCGGCGACATTACATTTTACATTTTGTTAAAAGTTTCGCTTTCTTTTTACACGTACTTGGACACCACACAAATGCAAATATCAACTTAATGTCTTCTCTTTTTGTTTCTTTACAGACAGCGCTACTTTTGTTGGTAATATATTGAGAATCAAGTCAGTGAAGAAGGAAGATCGCGGTACTTATTATTGTGTGGCTGATAATGGCGTTAGTAAAGGCGATCGTCGTAACGTCAACTTGGAAGTGGAATTTGCTCCCGTCATAACTGTACCACGTCCGCGCTTGGGACAAGCATTGCAATATGATATGGATCTGGAATGTCATATAGAAGCATATCCACCGCCAGCTATTGTTTGGCTAAAGGATGACATACAATTGTCCAACAATCAACATTACAGTATTTCTCATTTCGCTACAGCTGACGAATATAGCGACTCGACATTACGCGTCATAACCATTGAGAAGCGTCAGTACGGCGATTATGTTTGCAAAGCTGTTAATAAACTAGGCGAGGCTGACGCTAGGGTGAATCTATTCGAAACTCCTATACCCGTTTGTCCACCGGCTTGCGGTCAAGCATATTTCGATGGTGCCGAACATTTGGCTGGCACTCTATTTGCCACAATAGGTTTTTTAGCGGCGTTATTATATATCAGATAAATTCGATCAGAGAGATGGCCAGTGATAGCGAAACAAAACAAAAAATAAAAACATTATAAGAGAAAAAGAGCAATTCAGGCTATTTGTGGTTAGAAAAAAGTGATTAAAGCAAAAACAATCAGCATTAATTATAAATATTATATTAAAAAAAAAAAAAAAAATTCTTTAAACATAAAATCCCAAGACAAGCTTTGAATTTTGTGCTGAGTTTAAATTTTAAGTTTTCATTATATAAACAAAAAAATGAAAAAAATAATTCTATATTTAATTAAAATAAAAAAAATTGAATAATACCTTAAACCTTAACCCGTCCGTGGCAACGTAAAATGACTTCTTTAAGAATTTTTTATTCCATATTTTAATTCCTTATTTTTTACGATAGCGAATTTTTTTCTCTTTTAAATACCCTTTAATAAATTTTATCGTTTTCTTCTACTCTTTTTTAAAGTACAACAACTATTAATATCTCATATATATATATATATACATATATATAAACTTTTTTTTTTTAGTTTTCAGTTAAAACATCACAATAATAAACTACTGTGTAAACCTTAGATTTCGTTTTTTTTTTTATTGAAAAAGAAAAACAAAAAAAAAAAACGGAAAATATTTGATATTTATTTTAAATAATTTATGAAATATTTCCATTAAGTAAATTTATCTAATTAAGCGAAATACTTATGGATATTTGTAAATTAAACGTAGACCTCTTTTTTTACGTAAATCCATCGCGTCAATTTTTATGGTTAAGAGATTTTATATATGTGTATATGTATGTATAAATATATATATATATATATATATATATATACATTCATATATAATTTTTCTTTTTTTTTTAGAAATAGTTTTTAAGTCCAAGAAAAATGTTTTTCTTATACGTAGCATAATACGATTCTGAAATGTATATGTGTAGCTCTGTTTAAAATTTAAGTTTAATTTTATTATAACAATTTTTTCACAATGGACCCAAAAGAAAAAAAAAAAGCAGACAAAATTCTTTTACATTTTAATTGGGTGTAAATACTAACTAAATAAATAGCAACAAATAAAATTTAAAATGAAATGCCAATGTATTAAGTCTTATCATACATCTCATCATACATCTACAATATGCAAAAATAAATTTTAAATAAAATATTAACAAAAGATAATGAAAATAAAAAAAATAAAAAAAAATCCTATCAGCATTACTTATTGCATCTACTTTTCAGAGAAGAACGTACTTCTGAAGCCAGTGTTACTAATTCACTTTCCCCCCTTGCTTCACTTGCAGACGTTTATCAATCAATATTATATCAGTTGAACAGGCGTTATTATACCGTTTATGTTAGACACATCAATTGGGGCTTCATCACGACAAATTCCTTTACGACCGCATTTCGTATTTTCCTAAATGACGCTTCGTACCGACTTCCGTTCTAATTCTTCCAATCGATTCATTTGTTTTGCTCGGTTCCTGAGAAGGTCACGTAAGTGGCCAAACGAGGCCATTACTAATAATTTGAAATTTTCAGAAAGATATTCTCAGCATATTGATGTCTGAAATGATACCTCGCAATGCTTTAAGCCAAAATTCCAAGCAATCCATAAATTTTTCCAAAGGAATCTACTCTCTACAGCTAATACCTAAGGAATATTTAAATTGTAGATATTTGTACCAAGTTGCGGTTCAAAATTTATTGTGTGAGAGTACTTATCGGCGTCAATTCCAAATTTTATATCCACCATACTTCCATCCAAAAATGTATTTGTATGTGTCCAAACATGTCTAAACTAATTCCGAATATTACGTTCATCATAAATACATTCTTCAAAAAATCCCTAACTAGTATGTAGTATAACCGAATACTTCGATGACCAAACTAAGAAGAGCATAGTTAACATTTACATCTGTAAATAACGACCTGATTGCATCGCACAATTACCAAAGTCCTAAAAAGTATTAACTTTCACTTAAATACAATTGCGGCAGTCTCCAAGCTAAACCAATTATATAAACAAAATGCAAGAGTAGCCCTATTTTGATCACTATATCCGACGCCAGCAAAGCATTCAACGAAATATTTTTAGATGATTTTTTTATTTAATTTCAGTCAACCGAAACTCTTTTTAATTATCATTCAAATTGATTTACAGAGGTTGTGTTTTACTTCGTAGTATACTCAAAAATGATAACATTATATGTTATGCATAAAACGGCATTAAAAAGAAATATATATATATATAAGTGTAACATTATTAATAAGCAGAGTTTATGTATAACGGTTGTCTTGTTTTCTCTCCTTGAAAGAACTATATAACACAATTTGCATTTCAATCACAATTTTTGTGTTCTACTACTATGTACATGCGACGGGAAAATCATCATCCCCCTTTAAAACACAATATACTCGATATATGAAATAATGACGTTGATTAGCCTTAGCTATAATAATAATATTATTCTTTGATGGAATTGCCTGCAGTGGCCATACGATAATACAATTCGAATTCCGCTTCATATTCGCAGTATGATTGATTATTGAATTTCTTAGTTATGGGTATAAAGTGGCGGAGAGGATTCGCAATTATGAAATCGTATAATTTATTCAACCTCTCTAGTTGATGCATAGTATTGTTAGTTGTATCATGAATTTTATCCAATAATTCTGCAATTCTATCATGCTCTTGTTTAGCTTTTAGTTTTAAGGCGGAGATGTCAACTGAAATGAAAAGATTTATGGAAGTTTGCATATATCATACATAGCATATGTATATGTGTGCATTTAAATAAATACCTATACATATGTCTGAATTCAATTTTATGCTATTTGAATGGGCCGCAATCAATTCCGCCCACATAATGTGTTTTCGGACTTCCTGTAAAGCGCCGAAGGGTGTTAATAAAATGCCGGGAGCCAATTGAATAGTAGATGTAAGTTCACGTGTTTCAATAATCAGGGGATTGGGTGATAAAAGGAACAAACTGAGTAAAAATGAATCGGAGTAAAAGAGACAAAAACGAACAAGCGATGATGATTTTGTTTTTAAATATTTGGACAAACTCCACTTCACTTACCATTCTTTTGGTACGCAATTTAAACGTTCTAATGGCAACTCGGCAAATGTGCTTAATTCCATAGTGTGAGGTGGCAAAGTAATCGGCTGAGCCTGCGGCATTAGTGTTACATCGCTATTGTAAAAGCTACGCTGCGAAAAGGTGGTGTTATTCAATGCGGAAGCGTTGTCGTCAAAATCTAATTTTGTGCTACAAAAAACTTCATCAGGGCTTGTCTCAAAAATATCACTTAATTGTAGAAAATTTTGATTATCGTTGATGTTGTTCACTTTTATTCTTGACTTGGCTCTCATTGCTGGTTGCAAACTGTGCAATTGATGTTCCATTAAGCCTTTTGAATAAATAATTCTGTCCTTGATTTGAGATAATTGCGACATTTCGTATCGTATACGATTCACAGAAATTGAGATGCGATTATATATGTCTTTAACAGATCCTAAAAGTATCTAAAATGTTATATACCAAATATCTTATCAAATCGTGTCTCCTTTACAAGTTGATTGTGCAAAAAAATTCGTACCTCGTGATGTTCTACGTCTCTAGTAGTAGAATCAATTTCCGCTTTAAGACTATCGATATGCTGCAGCAGGGACTCATTCTGGCCTTTAATAAAAATTCGCGCATTATATTGCACAATATATTCACGTAATGTTTCCTCGGTTTTCTCATCTTCAACGTGAGTATTAAACATTTTCACTTTTTCCAATAGCTTTGGTTCAAACTCGCAGTATAAGCGGAGGAACTGAGAATCAAGTTGTTGCCGTTCTTGCCGAGCTACCAAATATTTAACCGATAAGCCCAAGAGATTCACTTTAGTCCTTAATAAATTAAATTCAAATTCCGAACAATCCTCCTTGGAAAGTAACATCAAATGACTGTCATTATTAACCGTTTTACTTAAGTTTGTAATATCTTGCAATTGCTCCTCTTTTAAGCGCATTATTGCATTAAATAGCATAAAATTCGGTACTCTCGAATATATTTGCCGCATATCAGACCATAATTTACTTTTAGCTTCCGAAAGCTGTTGGGCTAAGTAAAAAAAAAAAAAACAAAACTAAGCCTTTATTTTAAACGGAATAAAAAATAAAAAATCATTACTTACAACTTTTATTTTCCACACAAAATTCATAAAATTGTTTCAATTTTCGTATGGCTTCGTTAACAGCTTCGGCTGCTTTTGCTTCGCTTTTATTCTCGGATGTTAGTACAACGGGTATCGTTGACAAAATTTTCTTTCGATTTTCTTCTTCAGTTTTCAATTTCACATCCAAATCTTGCGATTTGAATTCGAGTATAAGGATTTTAGCTTCTAATATCTCGCATCTACTTTCGAATTTAATTATTTGTATATCTAGATATAAGTAAATATGTAAAGATTATCTTTCAGGCTTATTAGTTACATAATCTAACTAAGATAGACTAACTTTTTGCTTTAATATTCGATGATAAGCCTTCATATTCTTTCTTTCGATCTTCCACAAATTTCTGAAGATCTTTTTGTTGTTTTTTTAAATCTTGGACTTTGAGATGTATTTGCATTGCTTTAGGTAAAAAGGCCCCCTTGGAAACCTAAAAGTATACAAAATTTTCAATAAGTTTTTTAGAGTCAAAATATAAATTTGAAATGCGAATTTCGCCAAGTCACAAGCGTATTTCAAGAACCAAAATAACTTCAAATGTTATAGCCTTTATGTCAAAAGGAAATCCATTAGCTCACAAATTCATATACATGGGCAGGACGATCATGATGTGAAGAATCATATCAGTAATCTGTGAATTTTCTACAAAATTTTCACGACAGTGTTCCCGGGTTCGCAACACAAGTGTGGTAGAGTTTACTTTGACGGAAGTAAGCGCTTAACCGGTAAATCAATAACACTTACTTACCGATTGGGAGCACACACACTAGGCTGCCCCCGGCACGACAGTGTTCCCGGGTTCGAAACACAAGTGTGGTAGAGTTTACTTTGACGGAAGTAAGCGCTTAACCGGTAAATCAATAACACTTACTTACCGATTGGGAGCACACACTAGGCTGCCCCCGGCACCAACCTTAGCACTTTTAATTTTTTTCCAACTGTCACCGTGTTACACATGGATAGCGGCACATCCCCGTGAATGGTTGGTCTTATTAAAAAGAAAGATTTATAATTTCATAGGAGTATTCCTGACTTGGACATGGAGATACAAACATGCTATAGTTTTGACAAGTTGTATGAAATTATTTCGGTAGAGTTGGAAAAAAAAGCCAGATAAAATTTTCTCTGAGAAAGAATTTTATTGCACTCTCCTAGGCGAGTTTAGCGGAAGATATTGAATGGCATCAAAGCTAAAATTATTTGGTCGCATTGAGAACAACAATCCCATGAATTTCATTTGTTGGTTTTGCTTTCATTCATGAGTTTATTCAATGACTCAAAGCATCGTTAGAACCAAAATTTCTGCGTCATTGAAACACCTTATCTCACATCAAAGGGTTTTTTCTTTGAAGTAACCCTTGAAAAATTCAATTCTTTTTCTTTGCGTACAATAAGATAAACTGGGCAGCGCCCAACTGAAAGACTAGATTATTTTAACGCGAGTTAAAATATGTATTTAGAAAGATTTTCTACTTACTGGTATTACGAGATCGTTTAACTTTTCCAATTCATTTATCAGAATTTTTTCTCTTATACTCTGGCATTCGTTGCGTGGCTTAACACGTCTCATTAAATTGCAAAATAAATCTCGTTGACGCGATTTGAAGACACTGAAAAATGTTTTCTAAAGTATTATTCATATTATTTTACGCATTGGGCATGAGGAAAAAAAATTCTTTTTTCAACTTCATTAGTTATGAAGACGTTGCTTGGTGGTTTTCTATACTTTACTTGTTCTTAAAGTGGCGAAACTTTAATTAAGATGAATAAACAAATATCAAGTCAAACAAATATTGAAGTCCCGTGATCAATGATTGGTTTAGACCGATCTCCTTAAAAAACTTTATGATAATAAATATTCGCGACAAAATTTCATATGAAGGTTTACAACAAGATTTAAAAGAATTCATAGAAACCAAAATTTGTACTCTGCCTTAAGTTTTCATCTTCCTTGCAGATAATAAGCTATTGATAGCTTAATAATATACGTTTTCAAATCACCTTTGTAGAATTTGGACGAGAAAACCATAAACTGTTTAAAATATTTGAAAACTTTAACGGCGACTTGACGAACTTCAAAACCTAAGTTTTCAGTTCTTTTAATTTTTTTTTTTTTTTACATATGGGGTTTATATGAATCACACTTCAGCAGTTTGACTTCTGCTAGTCTCGATATATTTTTATATGTTTTTCATAGAGGATACAAGAAATGCCGGAAAGGTCTTCTATAATGTCTTCTGTAACGCAAACTTTCTTTTCCGTAAGCGTTTGCGCATGTTTGCACATCAGTATCAATAAGAATTAAATTGAAGATCAACTTTGTACAATGACCAAGAATTAAGCTTTTCTCGCCTCTTCGCCCACATTTACGACAATTATTCCTACGACTTACGACTTTAGAGCGTCTTTGCTGGGCAAAGCAGTTTGAGCGCAGCCTAGTTGAGTAGCCCATTCTCGAAAAGCATCAATGTCATCTTCAATAGGCATAATTCAAGTAAAATAAATTAAAAATTCAACAAACTTTAATAAAAACAAGCGAAAACAACAATTTCGAAGATGGCCGCTTTACAAATTCAATGAAGTCAAGTTTTTACCTCTTAAAGTAAAGCCAAGTCTTTTGAATTTTTAAATAAATAAATAAAAGGTAATCCTTGGTATTGAGTACGTATGGCGCTAGCTAAGTTTTATTTTCGAATTTCGTGTTTTTTTTTTGCAATATGTATGCACAAAAAGAGCGAGAAACTTTCCTTTTTATCAAGTCACACGTAAGCAAAACGGCTCTTTCCGTGCATTACCATGTACTCTCGCTTCATTGATAAGGCGCCGGAGATACATAATTCAAAACCAAAGGGCTTTTATGGTCCGGCGTCCATATGACAGCTAGTTAAGTAAAAATTGTATAATCAGTGAGCTTATTTTAGGCACCAATTTGCAAATAAATTCTTGTATATTCCAAGCAGCCGCAAATGTGTTTTAATACTTTATCAAAGTCACAAAAAAATTGTTAGCAGTTTTTGCAATCATAGCTTTGCATGATTATCAAATTGATTTTTGTTCCTTCATTTATATAAAAATGTTCTTTTCTGTTCGTTTGAGACAAGTACTAAATTAAGTTTCACTGCAATTATTGAGAGTTGGCAATATTGTTTACTATTGCTTCAAACCAACAACAATTTCAAGCTGTCAAATGCATTCTACTCTGTATTTCATTCAAAATTTCTTGACATCAGACAAAAATGCATTTACAGACAATTTTAAAAAAGGATAGTTAGTTTCATTAATTTACCAAGAAATACTGATTTGTCTTCGTCAAATAATGGAAAATATTAATCGTATACATCAATATTTTCAACGACAACACGGATTTTGTAAGTAGTATAGCAATGAAAAGAAGAAAAAAATTTTAGAGAAAGGCCTTTATGCAGAAATACCTTATATTTATATATGTATCATATAAGATATAAACAAGGCGGGAAAACTAACTACCGCCAAAAGAAAGACAATTACCGATTATTAAATATACAAAAAAGTTTTTGTAATGTATTTTTACAGCTAAAGTGTTAAGTTACGACTTCGCCCTGGGACGTTTGTGTGTGGCCAAAGAGGATAGTTGGCGTGGTATCTCACCGTCCAATTTAAACTCGGATTTTAATCCTGAGCCGCCAATATTTTCAGCCAAATTTGCAAATTGTGATGGCTACCGCCATATATTGGCCATAGCTAATGAAGATGGAAAAATTGCTTTACAAGATACAACGAAGCGTAATTATGATAGGACAGAAAAATCTCTATCAGCTCCTCAATATCATAATAATGCTGTGTTCGATTTAGAATGGGCGCCAGGTCAGATGCGTTTTGTATCTGCCTCGGGTGATCATTCAGCATGCTTGTGGGATGTGACGGACAGTGATATTCGTAAGATTAATTCGTTTGAGGCACATACGAGATCCGTAAAGACGGCTGCTTTCCGCAAACATGATCCTTCAGTGTTTGCCTCAGGCGGCCGAGACGGTGCTATAATCGTATGGGATAGCAGAGCTAACCTGGCTTCTTTTGACTTGACAAGGATGGCTTCCCGCCCAGAAAATCGCATTTGTAGTGGTCATGTAGGGGGACCAGCTACACCAATTTCTAATCGTCGACGTTTGCACACGAAAGTGCCAACAAATACGCCCTCAAGTAGTAGTGTAACGGGGCTCGTGTTTCAGGTAGTTTTCATTTTCATTTAAAATGTTGTTTACGATAATATCTTTGTAACTCGACCTGTTTTTTAAGGACGCAAATACTTTAATATCCTGTGGTGCCGGCGATGGTATTATAAAAGTTTGGGATTTAAGGCGTAACTATACAACTTTTAAAAAGGAACCTCTTCCAAAATACAGTCTTCCTTACGCTGGAACTTCCACATTTAAAGGGTACACGAACCTTATTGCAAACACGGCGGGTACACATTTGTATGCCAATTGTATGGATAATACCATATATTGTTACAATATTTGCTCTTATTCGCCACAACCTTTAGCCCGCTTTAAAGGCTTGCTAAATGGTACATTTTACATAAAATCATGCCTTAGTCCTGATGGCAAATATTTAGCCAGCGGCAGTTCTGATGAGAAAGCCTACATCTGGAATCTTGATTATCCCACCGAACCTTTAATTAGCCTATCCGGCCATAATGTTGAAGTAACTTGTGTAGCGTGGGGCGCTACACATGACTGCCCATTGGTTACTTGTAGTGATGATGCACGTCATAAAATTTGGCGTATAGGACCTTCGAAGCTGACCGCGCAAGAGTTATTTGATAATTATTGTGGATATGCCGAATATATAATGAAATTGCCAACCCATTTACAGAAACAAGAACCAAAGACTTCTGAGAATACTCCAAAATCGACAAAGCAACATATTCATGAATCTATGAATCAAAAACCAGTATCCACAGCTAAACGTAGTTTAAATGCTCTCTTGAATGACGTCAGCCAAGGGATGGAGTATATACAGCTAGTCAAAAGACCAAAATTATTAGAAGGTTGCGGACGGCGCCTATTCGGTTATAACGTTTCGAACGAGGCGGATATTGCGAGCACCAGTAAGGCAGCTGTTCATTTAAATGAAAATGTCTTAAATAAAGAGGAGAGACAACAAGCTACTATACTGGAAAAGGAGGAAGCACTTGATTGCGTTACACTTTCTCCATCAACCAGGAAAAATTCTCCCACAATGGCTACAACACCCCCACAGCTGCACAATATACCGTGTAATAATTTAAGTCCAAGTTCCCCGCCCTCATTAACAAATTCGCCCACATCAAATTTACCGAATTATGTTTTAAACGGCGAAGCACCGCATTTGGGTATAATGTCACCAAAACGACCGCTTCAAGTCAAGGTAGATTGGCTGACGAAATTGCGCAAACAAAAACAAATGATGTCCAAACGTAATATAACGCTAACAGAGAGAATACAAAATTGTCAGGATCCTAATGCAAATGCAGGTTTGAATATAATAACACACAGAGACGAAAATACCACAATAACGTCCCCACGTGTGCAGCATTTGAAACATGCTGAGGGCAGTCCACGCAGTGCTATTACACCACGACGCCGCTTGTCTCACTGCAATCATTATTATGCTGTCGGTGGCGGCAATTCACCAAATTCTTCTCCACGCACGCTCTCCTCTACTCGTCGCAATAGTGAGACAACGCTTTTACGCTTTTTCAGTGTACAAAGAAATAACTCGTTAACGGCTGCAGCAACAAACGCAGACGAACTTAGGACTTCTAAAAGCACATTGACGGCAGCCGCTAAATAAAAATCATATCTCTTCCATCATGTTACCTGCACTGAAATTTTAAGGTTGTTTATTGTAGTCATGTAAAATTTATTTATTTGGAAGTCCTTCATAAGCGGCCTTTTTTTAATTACGCACATTCACACTAGCAGAGTTTTACTTCAATCTCTTGCCCCTTAAAGTGTAGCGCAGTAAAGTATCTTGTTTTCCTCACGTGGAAATTTTTCAAAAAGGAGCCACTTTTTAAAATCGTAGTGTAGTTAAGAACAAATTCGAGTTAAATTTAAAATATTTTGTTTTTATTACTTTCACATTGAATATGACACTTAAGTTTTCTTTTTTTTTTTTTTTAAAGTATCCACTACTTTTTATTCGTTTCAATAAATGTATAAAAACGTCTTCATTGGAAAATCCTCTGATATGCTTTATTTAATAAACTCGTTATCAGTTAATCAAAATGTGACAATTTAGTTATTTTTCTTCTTAGTTTTTTCTAAAGAAATTGAACTATTTAACTGATTTAACTGATTATCATCAAAGCTTTCATTGGTTTTCTCGTCTTGTTGTCGTTGTGATGTGTTACTTTGGTAAAGGGTTTTATATACATTGTAACCTAACCCGGCCAAAAGTACAAAGTGGCATAGATGAAGTATGACACTTGAAAAGTAAGTGCTTGGATAGGTGTTCCAGCAAAATTCAATTAAACCCAAAAGTAAATAACGTGTACCCAAGCTGTAGGGCGTAGACCAAGCCAAGTATGGCAGGGAATGAAAATACCAGACATAGAATTGATAATGTAGCGAGCGTGCAAACACGACGCCTATGAAATTAGTTATGAAGAAAGGCGTTAAAGCCAATTGCGTACACTGATCGAAGTGTATAGCCAAATTCTGCTGGCCTAGCCTTTCTTCAGAGTCAATTTTCTTATGTTCTTTTAAACCCGATGTTCGTTGCAAACTTTTTTCAAAGCTTTTAATAAATGCCTGTTGATCGCGTGTCAGCTCGTCCTTCGATTCCAGCTGTTGTTTACTTGAACGCGATTTTTTGCTTTTTTTCGGTTTAGTTTGCCTAATTTTTGTATTTTGTTTATCCAGTTGAGGTTGGAATTGCTTTTCTAATTCTCTTAAGCGTGCGTAATTTTGAAAGTAAGTCATTGTTGGTTTAACAAACATAAAGAGCATTAGTAAATGCATGACCAATAGAGTTAGATGGAAATATTTGTTTTCAAATATCGGTTTAGGTAAAAATCTATAATTTACAGTCCATTTATGATCAAAAACACGACCCATATCGAAACTACTTTTCAGATATTCTATCGGGTAAGTGAAAAGGAACGGTGCCCCCAATATTAGTTGGACAACGGCACACACAAATAATTGCTGTATAGTCTTTAACCAACCTACATTTGTTAAATAGAAAAAAAATAAAGCCGGAGAGAAAAGTAGTATATTCATTTTGGTACTCACACCCAAACTATAAAAGATACTACCCCAAAACCAATAACGATCTACAAAAAGATTGAGAGAAGCATATAAAAATAGTATGGCTATGGGATCATTAAAAAGACGTAAAACATAAATGGAGTGAATACGATAGGAAGTAAAGGCACTGATTATTAAAACATAAGGCGGTACTTTACGACTTTTACTATATAAACGTAAGACCAACCATAGCTGCAGTAAATAGATTACGCCGAAAATATACTGCGCTAAATGTATATTTTGACCGCGGCTTGTGACGTAATATAAGATGGAGTATATATAAACAAAGCCAGCTGGATAAACCAATGGACCAGTATCACCTATAAATAGATTAACATAAAAATCAAACATTTTAATGATATCGGAAATCGTAGGATCAACATAAGAAATAAATACTACTTAATACATAGGTAGTAGAACATAGTGACAAATAGTAAAGCGTGCGCATACTTTCTGCAATATCTTCTTTAAAATATAAATTCTTTAATATATTAAATTTTTCGAATAAATTTTACTTGTCATTCAAACGAGAAAACTCATAGCAACCTTGCTTCGGACTATCATTTTCTTTTGTAATTGTGAATGAACGAGTTCTTATGAAAAAAAATATATATATAAGAAGCAGCATAAACTTGACATTAGTCGAAAAAAGCATGGAAGTTACGGCATTTCATCAGCTGCGTTTTGTGTAAAAGAATTGTGAAAAAAGAAAAAAGATTTTTTGAAATGATTTCGTGTAATTCATTAAATTTACGTATATTACGTCAAGCATCAATTAAAATTGTTCGCTATCAAATTCTCGAGAGCAATGGAAGCGTCTACAAATTCTTACAAGTACACAGGCCGTTCGCTGCATTCATTTCTTTACGACGCCCGGTTGACGGGATTGCACCTATAACACCTATAACAACGGCGATAGCAGCGAAACGTAACTTTCATACTAGTCATCTTTTAAATGGCAAAGACTACTATCAAATTTTGGGAGTAGCCAAAAATGCTTCATCTAAGGAAATAAAAAAAGCCTACTATCAACTCGCAAAAAAATACCATCCAGATACGAACAAAAATGATCCGGATGCAAGTCGGAAATTCCAAGAGGTATCAGAAGCGTATGAAGTACTGAGTGACGATCAAAAACGTCGCGAATTCGATACATATGGACAAACTGCTGAGGAAATGGGTCGCAATGGCGGTGCAGGATTCGGCGGTCATGGTCCTCAAGGATTTTCCCAAAGTTGGCAATTTAGATCAACCATAGATCCGGAAGAATTGTTTCGTAAAATTTTTGGTGATCATAATTTTTCTCCAAACAACTTTGAGGACTTCGCCGAGTCTCAATTTGGGTTCGGCCGAGCCCAAGAAATCGTAATGGATTTAAGTTTCGCTCAAGCGGCACGTGGTGTTAATAAGGATGTAAATGTTAATATTGTTGACACATGTCCAAAATGCAAAGGCACAAAATGCGAGCCTGGCACAAAACCCGGTCGCTGTCAGTATTGCAATGGCACTGGAATGGAAACCATATCCACTGGACCTTTTGTTATGCGATCTACTTGTCGTTATTGCCAGGGCACACGTCAGTACGTGAAATATCCGTGTGCTGAATGCGAAGGCAAAGGACAGACAGTGCAGCGCAAAAAAGCAACCGTACCTGTGCCGGCTGGCATTGAAGATGGACAAACCGTGCGCATGCAAGTGGGCAAAAAGGAACTCTTCGTTACTTTTCGTGTAGAGCCAAGTCGGCATTTCAAACGGAAGGGAGCAGACGTACACTCAAGTGCTACAATATCGTTAAGTCAGGCTGTTCTAGGCGGCACTGTGCGAATAGAAGGCGTATATGAAGATGAGTGGCTGAATATTGAACCTGGCACTTCTTCGCATCACAAGATATTATTGCGCGGAAAAGGTCTTAAGCGTGTTAATGCCCTTGGACATGGTGATCACTATGTAACAGTTAAAATTGAAATGCCCAAACATCTTAATAAAGAACAAAAAGAATTACTTATTAAATATGCTGAACTAGAAACGAACACGCCCGGCTCAATACATGGCATAACTAAACGGAAAGATGGTAGCAGCAAATCAACGTAAAGTACAATCAAAACAAATTCATTTTTACGATGTAGAAAATCTATTCTAATTTAAATGTGAATTACAGAACATTTGCCAGCACGGGCAATGATAATTCCACTCAGTTTTCATCGGCAGAGGAAGTCTTTAATAAAACCAAAACAAAGCAAGATGATGATGATTCAAAAGATAAAGGATTATTATCGAAATTAAAGTCTATATTTAATTAAATAGACAGCAAATCAGCCCAAGAAAACTTAACTTTAAAAATACCATGTTATGTAAATATGTTATAGTTATTAGAAATTTTAGTTTTTTTAAAAAAGCTTGTGAAACGAAACTATACAAACGATAGTTAATAAAATTATGCGGTAATGTCTTGCAGAAGCATTACCACGTTATTAGTACTGAATACTATGTCTTGATTATTTATGTTACTCTGCCTTATGATGAGAGATGAAAACAAACTTCTAGACGCTCTTAGGATTTTTATTATTAGAGTATTAATATCTTTTTGCCAGATGGGAAAAAACTACATATATATACTTACCCTTTAGCAAGGCATAGTTGGTGGTACCATTCAGAAAACCTTCACATTCTTGCATGTATGCCTTCCAATCAATTTCAGTATATGGCACTTTTTCTATGACAAACACATTTAGCATAAGTTCGAACAACAATATAAATATCGTAATTATGGGCAAAGCGGCCGGGTCGAATATCAGATATTTAACGTATTCAAAATTTAGGAATTTTCTATAAAATCGTAAGATAGCATATTCACGGTTGACAGCGCGAACTAATGCCATAACCTATTTTGGTTTTAAAAATATCCAAATATAATTATTAATGCGTTAGCCGGGTTAATGTTGATAAAATAAATGCCACCAGCTGTTTTAGATATGTTAAAAAGCGCGTTCAGTGCCTTATAAAAGATTGTTTTCATCTGTGCTGTCAAATCTCTTATTTAACGCGCAAAAATATATTTTTATACACGTGGTGAATGAAACGCTTTTTGCTGTTCACCCGTTTCTAGCAGCCGGCAGGAGAAGGTATTCTTCATATTTTATAGAAGACTCGCGATTAATAACTCGCACAAGATCCAAAGAGTTTTTATCATTGCTTGTTAATGTTGCAGAAGCAAGCGTTTTCTGGTTAGTTTTACTGAATATTAGAGAAGCAGAAGTTTCTGCTAGTTTCCGCAGAAGTTTGTTAGATTGGTAATGCAAGGCAATTTTTTTGCATGTTGTGTATGAATTTTTCAAAGACTTAGTACCATATGTTTCTTGAACAATGATTAATTTATTCAACTTGTTCGAAATGTCGGTTGAGTTTGTGGAAGTGGTTAGTGATCTACTAGATGCTTCTGTGTTGTTTTACTAGAGGACGTGTCTCCGGCTCTTTTTGAATTGTTGGGAATATTACAGTATGATGGTGCAGATTTTGAAGTAATGGTCGTACCTGAATTGCAGATGTGAGGAGATTTTGGAAAAACGGCCTCGTTATTGCCATTATTTCATGGCTTTTTTGCAACATTCGATTCAGATGATAATTTCATAACATAAACTACTTCATTTACGTTGTTCTCGTCAATTTCATTTGCAGTTAATGTTATCTTTCTTTTCCTTATCCTTTTCATCATCAGAATTAATAAAGTCGTTCACTTCTTTTCGAGTTTGCATGGCATTAAAATTCATTTGCATTTTATTTATATTTCCTGATTGACTTTTGAAATCATTAGTACTGCTCCAATTTTTTTGCGAGTATCTCCAACTTGTTTGGTTCCTTTCTTAAAACACTTCTCTTTTTTACAGTGTAATACCTTATCGCGTTTGTTGGTTCTTGAGAATTTATCCGACGAGAAAATATGGGCTGGAAAATTACTCCGAAAACCTTTTCAAATTTTACCCAAGGAAACTTCATAACTATAATACACAGTTGGAATGGCCATTGATCAGGGATTCGCGTAATATTAGTTTCCTTTAACCACATGACTTGGTTTGGTCACAGTGGTTAAGTAAACTTTCAATATTTCAGCCTTGTATTTGACATAGTAAAAAGACCTTTTTATACTAAGTTTTAATTAATTAAGATAAAGTCGCATATTTTTTATAATATCTAAAAAAAAACTTGAAAGTGTTACTCTAATTAAATTTTGCTTTAAATCTCTCCGAGACTCGATTTGATAAAGCTCCGTTAGCGGCTTAACTGAGCTCTGTTAACATTTTCTGGTTTGTGTTTTTTCTAATTAAATTTAAATATGACTTTACAACCTTATTATAAAATTTGAAATTAGGGCCAGTCCGCTTATAAGAAACAAACTCCAAATACATTCAACGGAACTTTGAGATTGAATACAGTTTAATGTTTATTAGTTCACAAGAAGAAAAAAATTACTATGATTGAAGGATAACAAGCAGAGAGTACAGAAAATGTCATTGCATATAATTTATAAACCACAAGATGTATGGTCGTAGGAAATTTGGTCAACAATTCGTTCAAAATAATGGATCTCCATATGATAAAAAGATTTAATATTCAATATTTGATGACGCATAATAACAAATTGACAATAAAATCAACCTAACCGAATTTGCACCACTTTTTATAAGAACAGAAGAAGGCATACAATACAATATAGCTTTAGCTGCAAAGTATCTTCTATACGCATTTAGATATCTTCTTTATTAAAGTAATTTCTGTTGTGTGCAATTCCATATAAAATTTCTTAATGTCACTGCTTCTCTCAACCCGCTCTATAGTCTGTGCCATTTCCAATGGCTCACCGGAGCCTTCCAAATATTTTGGCGCATTTATCAGCCGACGCTAGGCATAGCAGATTTCCATTAGCATTGGTGACCAGAAATAATAATTGCCTTTACAAAATCCCAGCTTAGGCAGCGTAACAGATCTTTGGGTTGTTGTGAATGAATATTGATGTTGTTTTCACAAATGTCTTTACGTATTAGCTCCAACGCGACTTTACTTCTTTCAAATCCCTCACGGAAGGGTAGGGAGATTCGAACTTTTGTTCAAACCCTTTCGGTTTTCCGAGAAACATTGCCCGTTCGATCAGAAACGAAATTGTCTTTCGAATTAAATAATGTTTCACTTTAAAAAATTGAAATTCACTTCTCGAAAATCGGGCTTATTGAAAAACAATAAAAGAAAGAAAAGAAACGTATATTTGAGAATCATGTGTTTCAACTTTATTATTACAGATGTGTTTTGTGTCTTCTTCTTCTCCCGCTATTCAAGAAATCAACAACAGAAAACTTTATTGCCATTCCTGTGTTTTATGAGTTTTTATAATAAATAAAACGAAATAAAGAAAAAAATTATTGTGAACAACAAATGGACTTAAATAAATTAAGACTATTGACCTTTTATAAAAAAGTATAGATAGTCTGTTATAGAGATTAAAATTAGATTTCCACATTTAACTTAGATAGAAATTTAATTTGATGAATTTAACATAGATAGAGACTCGACTTGATACATTTAACAGAGAGTAAAATTAGATTTTTATGTTTTACAGAAGTCTATGAACATGTGATTAATTTCTTCTTCTTGTCGTCTCTTGTTATTGTTACAATTGATGTTTATGTTTAACAGAAACCTATGAACATGTGATTAATTACATCTTCTTGTTATTCATGGCAAAGTGTTGCCATTTATTGAACGCAACTGTGTTCTCTCTCTGTTCTCAACACATGGTACTTTTTTTTAGAAAACTTGTGAAGGAAAAAAACCAGCCGTTAACTTTATTGTATAAGTATGCATTTTCAGTTTGTTTCTTGTTGTTGGCATGTTGTCTTCGGGTTAAAGCGGTTTCGGATTTATTTTCAATTTATATTTCTTTTAGACTATTGGAGGTGTATTTAGGTTCTTGAAGTGAAGCTTGCAAGATCTCAAGGAAATGAAATAAAAGCCGTAACAATTTGTATGTTTTTTTAAAAAATTTTAATGAACAAAAAAGAAATAATCTTATAAACGAGTATTAAGCTCGAACATATAATCTTACTTGTGACAAACTAAAGAGATGTGTAAATTTTTTGTCGCAAAACTTTGTGCGAAAGAATGTGCGTAAATATATATAATATTAAGAAGAAAACTAAAAAATAAACACTTTATATACATATAATTAACTAGTGAATGTTAAAATTAGAAAAAACTTTTGAACTTTTGAACGGTAAAGCCTGGCAAAAGCGAGACCATATGCAAAATAAGTTAAATAATATTCATAAATAAATAGTTTTTATAAATGATTAATGAATAAAACTATTGTTTAATATTAAAGTAAAAATTAAATAAAAAACAAGAAAGATATTTAGTGTGGTAAACTTAGCTAAATTACAAACTCAACAGAAAAGGTAAAGTAAATCTAAGAAAGATGCAACTAAAAAACAATTTCTATTTGAAAAGCAAATAAGAACACTCTATATAATAAACGGAAATGTACAAAATTATAAAGTTTTTTAT